ATGTTTTTCCATTTATGTAGGTCTCTTATGGTTTCTTGAAGTAGCTTTTTATAGTTTTCTTTGTAGAGGTCTTTTGTGTCTCTGGTAAGATTTATTCCCGATTTTTGGCAATTTTCTAAGGCAAAGAGGTTCACTACTTTTCATTATGTAAGTTACAAAGTAACTCTTCTACCTAGACATAAGATTATGGGCTAAGACATAAGATTATGGGCTAAATTTAATGGCTGGCTTGTTTGCATTCTTATTCCAACCTAATTAATTTAAATGGATCAACATACCCTTATAAAAACTGCACAGAAGTTACAAAAGAAATTTAAGTGAATCAGAATCGTTACCAATGCCTTGTGAGAAATCATTAAACATTATAATTAGAGAAATTTCAACTGTATGTAAATTTTCCAAGAGAGAAATTTAACAATGCTATGAGTGGAAGTTTTTGTAAATATTCTTTACAAATTTTATTTTTGATGGAAATTATCAAAATTATCCCTGGATGGAAATTAACACTGGTTTATTTATACACATGAAACAACTGGAAACTAATTTTAAAACATTTAAGGAACACTCCAGGCAGCCCTGTCCAGCAGAACTTTCCACAATGATGAAAATATTTTATATCTGAGCTGTCTACTATGGGAGCCACTAGTCACATAGGGTCACTCAGTGCCTGAAATATGGCTAGGGCATCTAAGGAACGGAATTTTAAACTGAATTTAATTTAAAGTTAAACAGCCACATGTGCATAGTAGGTACAAAAGAGCACAGTTCAATCAAAAGCATTGTTGAGCATGTATATTTAAGCAGCTGCAGAAACAGAAGCCATGAAAATAAATGATTTTGCCATTGCTAAATCATAACTAACATAATTTCTAATGTTAAAAATCTAAATATCAGTTCTCACAAATTTTTATCTTTATTATACTTACTGCAATATTTGCACTTTTTTTTTGTTTTAGCACATTTTTGTTTATCAAAAGAATACTGTTAGGTTATTATTAATAATAAATTTATATACCTATGTATAGCAATATAAGCTCTATGTGTGCTAAATGGAAAAATACAATTAACTTTGCATCAGGGTCCATACTCCATTCACACCCCACATTTTTTTTTTTATTAGGAAAGCCACTGACTAGTTTTGCAGTATGTAAAATGACTGAAAGCCAGATGAATTATGGGAAGATATGAAGAACATTATCCATGAAGAAAGCAAGAGATCACTAAAAAGACAAGAAAAGAAGAGAAGACCAAAGTGGATGACAGAGGAGACTCTGAACCTTGC